AAAATAAGGAAACTAAATTCTAAAAGGAAATAAACTAATCCTAATCTAAATAAAATTTAAGAATAATCATATTACAATTAGAAAAGGAAATTAGAAATGATAATTTAAAAAAAGACAAACTCCTAGATAAAGTGAAACTGTCAATTGTAGTTGTGATGTACTACATCATATATATATATATTTATTTATTTATTTATTTTGTGTGGTGTGAGTTGAGATTGAAGTGCACAAAGATTTCGTTTATATATGCAAAATAATTCTCTTATCTTGCTAATATAAGAAAACTAAATTAAAATCTTAAAAGGAAAGAAAATAGAAATCCTAATCTAAAAGAAGAAATCATTTTCTATAACCGATCATATCTAGAATATGATTGTCCTACATCGTTCTCACCCACTTCAAGAAAAACTCTTCCTCAAATTTGGTTGAAGAAAAAAATCAATCAATCCAGAGGAAAATACTAAACAATTTTTGCTAAATCACATGTTAAACAAATATCCATCTCTTTATTCTCCACAATTGCATTGAATGCCATCATCTTTTTGCCTACATTGCTCATCTTCTCATCCTTATGGATACTTTCTTTGTGGCATTCCTTTGGAACGATACTTTATTCAATCTCTCATTCTTAAATCACATGTACACATATAAACACATTCAATTCTTTGTACTTCTCATGTTCTTTTTATTTTTTACTTCTATTGATGCCATCTGCAATACGTGCTTATGCAATTCTTTAACATTTGACTAGTAGAGAAGATCAATGAAATTTTTATTTTCACTTTGACAAGCCTTACTTTTGATTCCTTCTTGATTGAAAAAATCAATTCCCTTTTCTTTGGCTGAACTCTTGTGAACTTCGACTTGTTCATTATTGTGCAGCTCGAGCTTGGGGTCTTCCATTGCAATTTCATCAGAGTGTTTTTTATCCTTGTGCTTACATTTATTGTCACTTTTCATGTATAAGGCATCATCTGGTCGAGGGTTTTCAACTTGTACATGCTCTTTTATCTTTATTTTAGTATCATGGTCAGCAATGTTCTCATAATTTTGAATGACTTTTTTTTAACCTCATCATCTACAGTATAATTTTTTGCTCTTTGTTTACATATTCACAAATTGCTTATCAAGTGATAATAAAACAATTTGCTTACCGTACCCATCAAAAGGCATACCTGTGATCTCAAGCTATGTAAGTAGCATCTTCATCATAGTACCATGATCGTCCATCTCTACCATGTTATACACAGTCTCATCTTTGAATTACTTTCCAGTAAAAAGTGAGATTTTGCATATCTCCATTTTTTGAATTTCTTGTCTGCTTTTTTAATTAGAGAAACTTGATAGCAAGATTAATATATTTCAATCTTTAAATTTAAAGCTTTCACCAATACTTTGGATACCATGTTGTCACAACTTCCATGATTTATTATCACATTACATACTTTGTTGTTAATAGTGCATCGTGTTCTAAAAATCTTATCGTACTTCAAATTTGGCTTCTTTATATCTTCGCGATAGTCTTTCTCAAAATCCTTGATAGCTTGTGAATATTCAAATATAGCTGTGACTAGAGGCAATTCTCTAGCCACTTGTTGCCATGTTCTGAGCTTGTTGAAGTAACCAACATTAATAGCAGTCGAAGTCTGCAAATTCTTGATAGTTGCATCTTCAAATATATCCGTCATTAGTTCCAGATTCTAAATTAAGGTTGGTAATTTTCAAATCCTCCGATCATCATTGCAAGAATGCGTACCACTACCACCATAGGTAGCCATCAGCTAAAGGCAAATGATACCAATTTTGGTGTGGAAGCAAAATTGGAATTCTTGAAACAAGAATAAAGTTGAAAAACTCAAAAAATTGTACAGAATGATTTTATTCTATTGAATTTATGATTGATACCAAGCTTATGTTTATATATGCAAAATAATTCCATAATCTTACTAATATAAGGAAACTAAACTAAAATCCCAAAAGGAAAGAAAATTAAAATTCTAATTTAAAAGAAAGAAGAATCATATTTTAATCAAGAATTTCAAAAAAGAAAGGAGAAGAAAAAGAGAGAACCATTCCTATTTCGAATAGATTGTTCTCCATCTAAGTAGTTTATTAAACTAGGAATAGTAGAAATTGCGAAGTATTAGGACCAAATGTGGGATACAGTGTTGGTGAGGTCATCCAGCAATAGACATCTTGATGTAAAACGAAATGATATAGGTTTATGCATTGTCATAAGCTTGTTAGAACTGAAGCTCATTTTTGGATGGACAGAAGTATTAAAATTGTGAATAATATGATTTTTGTTGCTTCTTTAATGTGAATCTCATTGTGGAGTGCTCTTGCTCTTCAGGTTAATGTCGAAAGATGGCCCCTGGTGGTTTCTGCATGGTGATGTGAACAAAGCCAAGGTTAGCTTTTGATTATTCGTTGTTAAAGTAAGGAAACAGTTGTAGTCCCTGTCAGTATTTGGTGAAGTTTACCTATATTGCGATTATTATGGGATGGTACTTCGTTTCTTGAAGTACTATACATTTCTTTAAGAAATTTTGGCAATTTGTGTCCTGCTCATTAGAAGTTGTTATATTATTTTATAATAAAAAGATTCAATTTCAAACTTTAAATTAATGTTCATTAGATTATTAGAAACTATATATTAATAGATTTCAGGAGCAAAAGCCAAATCTCTCATCAATATTGTTTGGTCATGAATTTTGGCTCATATGCAGTTAGGGTTACACTGCTCTGACTTGTTTTTTTGGAATATTTATTGGATTAGTGATGTTGGCTTATTGCGTGTGTATGTTGCATGAACGTTGTAATTTTCTCGAGACATTTTGTAACTAAAGGTCCGTTTGATTGTAAAGGTGGAAAATGGGTGGAAAGAAAATGTTTTAAAGGGAATTGAATTGCCTAGAAATTGTTTTGCTGAGAATTGTAATTAATTGTATTTGATTGATATAATTTTCCACTTGGAAAATGTTGAAAGTTTGGTATCCGTTTGGCTTCGTTTTTCATGGAAAGTGTTCATCAAAGTGATAATTTTTTCTACTATTGGGTATAGAATTTGTTCCAATTGCCAAAAA